CCACACACACACACACACACACACACACACACACACACACACACACACACACACACACACACACACACACACACACACGAGAAACCTTCCTTTCCACTTCCATCCCATTTTTTTAAATCTGTGGAATTCCTTGACCCCTCTTTCCTCTGATGTTCCGGTCAAGTTTGTGTCCTTTACGTGAATGCACAAAGGACAGAACAGTAAAAGGGGAAAAGAAGAGAAACCAAGAATGGATGGAGGGAGTTAGATAAAGGAAGAGATGGATGGATGGAGGGAGAGAGAGAAGGGGAGGGATGGAGAGGCAAAACAACCTTTGAATCCAAATGAGCTGACACACAATGCATGCCCTCCCTTCCTCTCTCTCCTTCTCTCTCTCTCTCTCCCCCTCTCTCATGCTCTAGATCACTGTCTCTCTCTCACACACACTCTTACTTCCTCGAACACATGTGCTTGCACTCTCTCCCTGTCCTCTGTGTCTCCTCATCCGATCAGCGGAGCACAGGAGGTGATTTCTGCCACTTGATTTATTAGTCATCGCTGGTTGTTGGAACAAGCTAATTAAAAGGAGCGTGAGCGTGTGTGTGTGTGTTTGTGTGTGTGTGCATGTGTATTTGTGTGTGAGATTTAGAGACTGACGCTGCTGCTGCTTCTTCTGCTGCTGCTGTTGCTGCCGTCCCCTTCATCAGCTCTCTCACGCTTTGCTGTGGAGCAGGCGAGAGGAGAGAGAAGAGGAAGAAGAGGAAGAGAAGGAGGAGAAAGAGAGAAGGGGCAGACACCTGGGTGGAAGGACATTTTCACACCACTTCCCCTCATCATCTCTTCTGACATGGCCACTGCTTAGGAATCTGGTGCCGTGGCAACCGTCAGATCCAAGGTAAGGAGGGAGGGGGAGTGGTGAATGAAGAGGCAGACGGGGAGGCTTTCCTCTCCTCGCTCCCATGCCGGGATGATTTGAACAGCATGCCTGCCCGGGATGCTGTAACGGAGCAGCCGCTGTTGGATTTTCTGCACCCTAACCGGTCAAAGACCCGCTGTTACGTGCTTCTTCTAAGAGTCGTGTGAATGTGGGGGGGAGTGTCTCTCGGTGGTATTCCCCAAACAGAAGCCCTAATTATTGAGCACCGGGCAAATCCTATTATGGTTTTACTCTCACCCTTTTACTTTGTTCTTTTAATAGTATAAGGGATTGCCCCTTAGTCAAAGGAGTGGGATGTTTGCTGTTTGTTTGTGACTCAACTCAGGTGTCAGGATAGGTGCATTGTTCACACATAGCCTCTATGTGTGGAAGTAGGACTGTGCATGCAATCTGAACTGCAAGTGAGTGGTTTGACAATTGCCGGACAAAAAATAAATAAATCTCAACACACTGAACACACACAAAAGCGAGCTGAGGTATTCGACAGTTTGCTCTGATCGCATGTTCTGGCACCTGACTCCATGCAAATGGTCCAAAACAGTGTCCAAAATACAGAGTAATACTCTGCTGACAAAGTCTTGGATATTTCGTTTGCAGCTCGTGTATGTCTTTGGCTGTGGTGCAGACATGAAATAGAGGAACGGGTGACTGACAGTTGGTATTTTAACGCTGCATTGCTGCTGCACATCCTCTCATGTTACCGCTGCACAAATGTGGATTTTTGCATAAAAAGACACGCAAGAGCATGCTTTGGTAAAGCAGGAGTGAGCATGATCCAGATTGTTTTGCCCAATTAGCTTTTGTGTGTGTGTGTAATAGAGAGAGAGGTTGTGTCTAAGTGTGTGCTTACATGCACAGGGATGTCCTGGGGCAGGGTGGTGGACTGCAGAGGCAAAAGAGAGGACATATGGCTGCCTGGGTCTCTACTCTTTGACGCGAGTCCTCAGAGCAGCAGACGATTCAAATGTCCTGCTCCCCCTGAAGTGCAGGCGTGTGTGTGTGCTTGCTAGTGTTAATTCAACTTTCCCCTCTGCTGCTCCCTTTGCTTCTCTCATCTCCACCATTTTGATTTCAGTTCTCTCATGTTTTATATTCCGATGGGTGTATTGCTGGTGTGTGTGGCTATGCAACAAAGTCTCTTTGTCTCTGGTCTGTTTTGGGAGTTTCTCACCATCATTGTGTCTGCTGACAGGTTGATTTCATTTTCTCTAATTGATAGATGGACTATTCGATTAGGCCCCTTTTCACATGGACCTTTTAAACAACCAGCTGGACCGCTTCTCACTTTCATGCACTCACTCTGCTATACAGAAACAGATTTTAACCAGCATTTCTAAATGACTGCCACAGGCTCACTTTTTCAAGAACGTAAGTAATTGCAGTTCGAGGTGGATCAGTTATGTATGACCTGCTGATTGCAGTTATCTAAGAACTAAGAAGTCATTGACACTTTTTTTTCCCCTCCAAAACTGCATCAGGGTATAAGATCTTCTTTTCCTCTCTCTCCAAACAAATCTCAATATAAAGGGCTCCACTTTGCTGGAGAAAAAGGATATAAATTGCAGTATATCCTGTTTATCTGTTGCCAGGTTCAGACTGCACAATACCAGCCCAATTTTGGTCAATTCAAGTCACGCAGGACATCAGTTCAAGAACTGTAAAATTGAGTAGACAGCCTGCATCATAAATTGCCAAGTCCTACCCACTGGTATCTTTTAAGGGGTCAAGCATGATTGCTTGGGGAGCAAAAGACGATTTTATGTCTCTATAATGCCCTAATCTGACTTGGTGATTATCATGACAATAATATTGTGTAGTCTGAGCCCAGTATACTACAACATGCCTGCATTTCTTTGTAATTATACCTTCAAAATGCCAGTGGTGGTAATGTTACTATGCTGCTGTCTCCAGCTTTTTTATTTCAAGTAGTGCTGACCAAGTTCTGACCACAAGGCATCTCCAGTCGCTACATAATTGCATGAAATCTTCACAGAATCATTTGTATCTCTGTTAGTCTGTCAAATGCACATTACATTTATTAATTGAGAATCACCCTTTGGGCCACTGATTCAAAAAATTCTTAAATACGTGCTCTGACTCAACTTTTTCCCATTTCATCAAAGGATACACTCGAGTTTATATCACTTCCCTGCTTTCAGTTAACACACTGCATGGACTGTGAGGATCAAACTTCTGCTTGCAATCATCAAAATCATCAAAATCTTTTGGTCTCCCAAAGGGAAATATCCACCTCTTAGCCTGACCGATCAAGAGACTGCATAATCTTAATGCACACAGAGCTCTTTCAAGGTGGTGGAGTGCTCCCCTTCACAGGCCCCTGAAGCAGACACTGGTGTAGTGCGGATCCGAATGGTCCCAAGCCTTATCAAATCAAGCTATTGGTATCAGTTCCAATAAAGCCTGAAGCCAGAGCTCTGTAATAGAGATGGCACGATACCACTTTTTTTATGTCCGATACCGATACCGATATCATAAATTTGGATATCTGCCGATACTGATATGAATCCAATATAGTGTTTTTTAATCAACAAAACTGTTTTTTT